TACATAAATAAGATTTTTTTACAAGAGAAATGCATAGAAGCATTTTTCATTTTATTTTATTTTATTTTAGACACGAATTCTGCTCTTGCTTCCCAGGCTGGAGTGCAATGGTGTGAACTCGGCTCACTGCAACCTCCGCCTCCCGGGTTCAAATGATTCTCCTGCCTCAGTCTCCCAAGTAGCTGGGGTTACAGCCATGTGCCACCATGCCCAGCTAATTTTCTATTTTTAGTAGAGATGGGGTTTCTCCACGTTGGTCAGGCTGGTCTCGAACTCCCAACTTCAGGTGATCCACTTGGCCTCCAAAAGTGCTGGGATTACAGGCATGAGCCACCATGCCCAGCTGCATTTTTCATTTTAATATGTTATAACACGATTGCTCAAAACAAGGTTTATTATTTAGAAGAGGAAAATATACCTGAGTAGAGACTATTTCACACACAGATCTGCTTTTTCCTCTTGGGTCACAAGCTTCCTCTATTTGCAGACTTTCGAGTTCAAGATAAATCATTTGATTGTGGAATTATTTCATCCTTGGAGTTCCTCAAGGAAAAAGAACACTGAACTTTCAGGATGTCAAGCTAAGTGGAATAAGCCAGATGGAGAAAGACAAACACTGCCGGATCACACTTATATGTGGAATCTTTATTTTAAAAAAATGAGGCTGGGCGCGGTGGCTCACGCCTGTAATCCCAGCACTTTGGGAGGCCGAGGCGGGTGGATCACGAGGTCAAGAGATCGAGACCATCCTGGTCAACATGGTGAAACCCCATCTCTACTAAAAAATACAAAAATTAGCTGGTCATGGTGGCACACGCCTGTAATCCCAGCTACTCAGGAGGCTGAGGCAGGAGAATTGCCTGAACCCAGGAGGCGGAGGTTTCAGTGAGCCAAGATCATGCCATTGCACTCCAGCCTGGGTAACAAGAGCGAAACTCCGTCTCAAAAAAAAAAAAAAATGAATACATAGAGAATAAAGTGGGGGCTCTCAGGGGAGGGCGTAGGGGCAGGAAATGGAGAGGTGTGGGTCACAAGGTGCAAAGTGGCAGATGTGTAGGATGAAGAAGTCCAGAGATGGAAGGTACAGCTGACAACCAGAGGTATAATGTCTTATTGAATAGTGAACATTTGCCAAGAGCAGATTTTAGTTTCTTTTACCATAAAAAAAAGTAAAAAAGTAATGATGCAAGATGAAGATATGTTAGTTTGCTTAATGATGGCACTCACTTCACTAACTGCAATATATCAGAACATCACATTGTATACCTAAAACATGTACAGTGAAAAGAATATTATTTAAAAATCAGGCCAGGCATGGTGGCTCACACCTATAATCCCAGAACTTTGGGAGGCCGAGGTGGGTGGATTACCTGAGGTCTGGAGTTGGAGACCAGCCTGGCCAACATGGAAAAACCCCATCTCTACTAAAAATAAAAAGATTAGCCAGGCATGGTGGTGGGCACCCATAGTCCCAGTTACTCAGGAGACTGAGGCAGGAGAATCACTTGAACCCAGGAGGCGGAGGTTGCAGTGAGCCAAGATCATGCCACTACACTCCAACCTGGGCAACAGAGTGAGACTCTGCCTCAAAAAAATAAAATAAAAATATATAGATAAATAAATATCATAATATGCTCACATTTAATGGTGAAATATTGAGACCTTGTCCTCTGAGATGGAGAGTTATACAAGAAGGTGCACTAGCACCACATTTGTTTGGCATTTGACTTGGGGTCCAAACCAGTGCAATAAAACCCCAAAACACAAGAAAAGGAACTATTATGAACATTCGTAGACCAGTCTGTGTGTGGACACACATTTTCATGTATGTTTATCTTTGTGAGAAACCACCAAATGTTCCCCAAAGTGGTCAGTGTGTGAGAGCTCCCATCATTCCCCAGCCTGGTCTGAACCTGGTATTGTCAGGCGTTTCCATTTTAGCTGTTCAGTGGGTGTGCTGTGGAGTCTCGCTGTGGTTTTAATTTGCGTTTCCCTGATGACTAATGGTGTTGGCACCTTGTCACGTCTGAGTCTGTATCTTTTTTTTGCAAGTAACTTCTTCGATATTTTGCCCATTCTTAAACTAGAAGGTTGTTTTCTTATTATTGATTATAAGTATCTATAAAATATTCTGTATATTCTAGATACAAGTCCTTTGTCAGATATATGTACAGTGATACTTTCTCCCAGTCTGTGATTGGCTTTTTAATATTCTTTACAGTGTCTTTCAAAGAGCAGAAGTTTTCAACATTGGTGAGTCCAGTTCATCATTTTTTTTCTTTTATTGACTTGTTCATGTTATGTCCTAAGAAAGCTTTGCAAATTCTAACATAGCAAGCATTTGTTTCTAGTTTTTTTTAAGAAGTTTTATAGTTTTAGCTTTTACATTTCGAGTCAGTTTTTGTATATAATATGAGGTAAGGGTTGAGGTTCATTTTTTCCCATACCAATATGCAGTTTTCCTAGCATCAATTTTTTTTTTCTGAGACAGGGTTCTGTCACCCAGGCTGGAGTGCAGTGATGCAGTCACAGCTCACTGCAGCCTCAACTTAAGACATCATTACACCTTGGCCTCCTGAGTAGCTGGAAATACAAGGGATATGCCACCATACCTTTTTTTTTTTTTTTTTTGTCTGAGACAGAGTCTCACTCTGCTGCCCTGGCTGGGACCAAGTGGTCCTTTCATCTTAGCCTCCCAACGTGCTGAGATTACAGGCATGAGCCCCTAGCTCATTTATCGAAAGCATTATCCTTTCCCCCACTGAATTTCATTGACAACCTTGTTGAAACTCGGTTGATGGTAGGCATGAATCTTTTTGCACTACCCAATGACACCCTATGACATACTATGGCAACCTGATTTGTAATGTTCATGAAAAAGCAAAGGACAAAATCAGAGGGTTTAACACTATAGTAATTAAAACAGTGTAGAATGGGCACAAAAATGGACAAATCAAACAAGAGAGCATAACAGAAAAAAACTAATCCATATACAATCACTTGATTTACAATAAGTCTCCTACTGCAATTCACTGGGCAAAGGATGGCCGTTTCAATGGGGAAGTAGACGAAAGTTTATCCCTACCTCACACCATACACAGAATGAATTCAAATAGATCACAGAGCTAAATACAAACAGCAAAAGTAGCACAACTTTTATAACAAAGCATAGATTATCTTCATCAATGTTGGATTAACAACAATCTCTTGAACAGGATGTAGAAAACCCTAACCAGAGTTCCTACAAATTGATAAGAAAAAGCAAACCACCTAGTGAAAAAAAAAAAAAGAGCAGAAAATCTGAACAGGAACTTCCCCAGAGAGGATATTCAAACTGGCAATAAGCCTGTGAAATGGTGCTCAATATCATTATCCCTCAGGGAAATGCAAATGGGAACCACAGGTAGGTACCACTACACACGACCACCCCCTAGAGGGGCTAAAATTAGGGACTGATAATATCAAGTGTGAATGAGGATGTAGAAATTTTTACAACTGCTTGGCAGTTTCTAATGGAGTTTCACATGCTCTGTGATCCAACGAGCCCATTTCTAGATGCACAGGTGCACACCTAACAGAAATGCATGTGCAGTACACTCAAAGACAAGACCTAGAAGAACGTCCTCAGCAGCTTTAGTTACAATAGCAAAACAACGGAAAACCTCGCAAATGCACATCAACAGAAATATGCATGAATTAATTATGGTATATTTATTTTATTTCTTTATTATTTCTTTCTTTTTGAGCTGGAGTCCTGCTGTGTCCCAGGCTGGAGTGCGGTGGTGCAATCTCCACTCACTGCAACCTCCACCTCCCAGGTTCAAGTGATTCTCCTGCCTCAACCTCTCGAGTGACTGGGATTACAGGTGCCCACCAGCACGCCCAGCTAACTTTTGTATTTTTTAGTAGAGACGGGTTTCACCATGTTGGCCTGGCTGGTCTCGAACTCCTGACCTCAGGTGATCCACCCACTTTGGCCTTTAAAAGTGCTGAGATTAAAGGCATGAGCCACTGCACCTCGCCGATATATTTATTAATCAAATATTACACAGCAATAACAGTGAACTAACTGGCTACAAGCAATAATGTAGGTAAATTTTACAGACATAATTTGAGGCAAAAGAAACCAGAAGTGATAGAAAATATGCTTCTATTTATGAGGCTCAGCAACAGGCACAATTCATATACAAGCGGTATAGCCGTTTCCTTCATGGGGGAGGGAGGAGATAACCGGAGGAGGCTGGGCAGGAGGCAGGGGCGCGTCTGAGATTCTGAGAATGTTGCAGAGCAGGCTTTCTCTACCTTGGCACTACTGACATTTTGTTGGGGAGGCCCTCCTGGCACTGTGGCATTCCCGGCCTCTACCCACTAGTGCCAGTACCACAATGTCTACCCCCCGACCACCACCGCCGCTCCCACCCACAGTATGACAAACAAAAATGTCTCCAGATATTGCCAAATGTCCCCTTGGGTGGAGGACGTACAAAATTCCCCTTGTTGCGCTGTTTTATTTTGGGCCCTGGGGGAATGACGGGCGTGGGCTCCTTTGTGGAAATTCCTTGGCTTTTCTGTACACATGTTAAGCTTTTAAAGGTTTTAAAAGAAGAAAACAAGTCAACAAATGACTGAAAGAACCAGCAAGTTTTCCAGCAACCCCAGAGAGAGTGGACAGAGTGGGGTTAAATGTCTTGTTTGCAGACAAGGAGACTGGGATCCAGCGTGGCTCAGGGCAGGTGGCCGGCGGGGTCCTCCCACTCCCACTTCCTTCCCCCTGCTCTCATGCATTCTTGCTCCCAAACACTGACCAAGTCCCTGTTGAGGTTGGTCCCATGCGGGGGCTCGGCTGGACCTTTAGACTCATGGTGGAAACAGTTCGTGTTGGTGGACACTGCACCCAGCACCCTGCAAACAGAATTCTGACAACCAGTATCTCATGCAAACAGGATATCAGCTTTTGTCAGAAACATCAAAAAGGGCTTGAGGTTTTTCTTCGCAGCCTCAGCGTTGCCTCTACCCCTCCCGCTTTATCTCCTCGTTTCTGTGTGCAGGCGAGCTTCTTGGCCTGCGGGCAGGAAGAGATGGCAGCGGCGGAGACGCAGCTCTACGCCAAGGTCTCCAACAAGCTCAAGGGCCGCAGCACCCCCTTGCTCCTGGAGCCCCTCCTGGCCATGGGCTTCCCGGTGCACACCTCGTGAGTACTGCCCAGAGACCCTGGGGCCCAGCCAATGGGGCTGGAGCCAGACCCTGCTGCAGCCCCTGCCGTGGAGCTGCAGGGGCGCAGGGCATGGCCTCCGGTCAAAGCCGTGCACCTTGTGGGGTGACACACTGGCTCTTCAGAAGGCTCCCTTCCGCTTTTCATAAAGGACATGACCTTGACCAAGCTTGTCCAACGCACGTGTGGCCCAGGACGGCTTTGAATGCTGTCCAGCACAAACTTGTAAACTTTCTTCAAACATGATGAGATTCGTGTTTGTTTTCTGTTTTTAGCTCATTAGCTATTGTTAGTGTCAGTGTGTTTTATGTCTGGCCCAAGACAATTCTTCTTCCAGTGGGGGCCAGGGAGGCAAAGATTGGAAACCCCTGATATTTTTGACCTTTGAATCACTAGCTCTGCTGGCTGATGCCAGGGGATCCTGACATTGTGGAAATCGGAAGCCGTGTATTACTCCAGGTGCCTCATTTTGGGGGCTTGGGGGACTCGGGGCCTGGATGTAATGTCTGTGTGCAGCTCAGCGACTCTGAAGGTGGCATTTCAGGGTGTTCAAACTCTAGCGTAAAAGACCCCAAAGCCCGCTGAGTCTCTAACACTGGGACCACTGCAGCAGGACTGTGCTGCCACACTGCCCAGGGAGAGCCACTTGTCCTCAGGGAGAATCCCTTGAGCGTCCGATAACGAAACAAATGGGTCAGAACTGCAGACGCAGTGCGAGCTGGCCCCCGTGGGAAGGGTCTGTGTGGGGGAGAGTTTAGCCTTGGGAGTCGCCGCTCTCCGAGAGGGAGGAAATGCGACCAGCACTGGGTTTTACAGCTTTCGTGGCAAACCAGCGCCTTTGATCGGGCCCGTGCATTTTTCACATGGAAAAATGAACCTGAAGCACTTGAGGTGACTTTGGGTTGGAGAAGGAGCTGAACTTTCCTTCCACACTGTCACAAAAGCTTGGCCAAATTGGATAAAGTAACTTTGAAGCTAGATAAACCCCTTTCTTCCCCCCAAATCAGGCCTTGGTTGTCACCGTTATGTTCAAGCTAATCCAGGGCCTTTGAATGCGGAATGCGTTCAGGCGTGGGGAGTGTGGCCGCCACGCACCGTCCAGGCAGCGGGTACAAGGCAGGCTTCATCCTCTACTCGCCACCCAGTGCAGGCAGGACCCTGGGTCCAGAGAGTACGTTAGTGGTGGGGGTGGGGCTTGAACCAGCCCTCTGTGCCTTTGAAGGAGTCCACGTTGTATTTTGCTGTTGAACCTGTAGCATGGACTCCTACTCAAAATTCCTTCCGGTTTAAACATTAAACACATGTTGGGAGAAGAGCAGTGTGTGAATTTCCTCACACCAGAGCACCTCCAAGTAAGGCCCTGCCCCGAGGCCACCCTGTTCAAACCTCTCCAAGTGGCCACAGCCGCGTCGGCACCCACCCAAATAGCAGCATCGGGCAGCACGTGGTGGGTGCCTCATGCATACCCGCTGTTTCCGGTCGGCAGTCCTGATAAATCGCCTTAGCTGCATTCCATTGTTCGATTTGGTCCAGTTCAGCCAAATTCAATGTGATGCACATACGTCCTGGACACCGCCCTGCTTTCGGGGAGCTCTTGGTCTAGCAGGGGAGAGCCGTGGGAGCAAGAGACTGTGAGAGCCGTGACAAGTGCCTGCCCGGTGCTTTGGGAAGAGCTGTTTCCCAGCATGGGAGACGTGTGGGAGCTGAGCCTGAGGATCAGGCCATTTTGTTAAGGGATGTTGGGGTGAAGGAAGCATTTGTCAGGAAAGCATGTGTCTGAGCGGGGACACACTCCACCGCAGCTGCCTCCAGGATCCACAAGGTGGGTCCATTTGCTCTAGGTAGCGGGGAGGGGCAGGCCAGGGAGAGGGATTGCAGGAGTGGGCAGAGGTCAGGTCCTCAGCACCAAGACCCCGTGCCAAGGGCCAGAGCGGGTAGCCAGGGAAGGGAAGTGAGGGGCGGATGTGAGCTGGTCAGCACTGTCCAAAGCCATGATGGTGGCACTCGGGAAAGGGACCTCTGGGCACATGCCCGCTGGGAGTTCAGCGTCAGGCCCTCTTCAGAGTGCAAGGCTACCCCTGCCTCTCTGACCCTTTTCCCAAGAAGGGGCGATGTGACTCTGTGCCTGTGTCTGCTCTTCTGCAGGTTGAAAGCGCTGGCAGCCACAGGCAGGAAGACGGCGGAAGAGGCCTTGGCCTGGTGAGTGCGGCTGCTCCTGTAGACCCGGGAGCATCTGGGCTGAGCATCCTGTGCTCGAGGGCCCCCTCCCACCAGGGTGGACACCAGGAAAAGCCTGGTGCCTCTGGGTGGGATGAGCCACTGCCGAAGTGAACCAAAGTAACCTCGCTGCTACGCACAGGGCCCCGAGGCGGGGCAAGGCTCCATCTTAAAAATAAAATAATTATCGAATCAAAAGAAACGTCGTAGCTATCTAAATTTAGTCTAGTTTTTGGTTTGGGTTTTTATACGTAATTTGAAGCTTGAGGTAAAACACACATGTGAGTTTCTTCCACAAAGTGTTTCCGCACCATCCAAGAGACGCTGGGGCCACAGACGATCTGAAGACCAGGTATTGGGTCTTGCTGTCAGCTTTCTTTCATCTTTTTCACCTGTGAGTTTGGAATGAGACTCAGGTGGGTCCGAGGACAGGATGGACACTGGCCAAGTGTCTCCCACACACAGCTCCACCGAAGGTGCCTCCGCCAATACGATGGCGCTGGGATTAATTTATGTCATGAGCACACATTGTGTGTTCAGTGTGCCCTAGAATTCTGCATTGCTGTCACTGCTGTTCTCGAAGGGGAGAAACCTTTCCGTTGCGGCGGTGGGTGAAGCCGGCTTGCTCTCTGTTGCAGGCTGCACGGTCATTGCAATGACCCTTCCCTAGACGACCCCATCCCCCAGGAGTATGCCCTTTTCCTCTGTCCAACGGGGCCCCTGCTGGAAAAACTTCAAGAGTTCTGGAGAGAGAGCAAGCGCCAGTGTGCAAAGAACAGAGCTCACGAGGTCTTCCCACACGTGACACTCTGTGACTTCTTCACGGTGAGTCAGCCCAGTGCGCCTTCAATGCTCTTCATCGCTGCAGCTGGAGGCATTTTTTCTGTGATAACTAGGCCATGACGGGACAGAGGTGACTCTAAGTGGGACTGTCCAGAACTGCATCATTACCTGGCGTCTTCATGTGAGCTGTGCTTTATTTTCCTCTTTGCTTTCATCTGGTCAACTCCTATTCATCCCTCAGAACACAGATCATTTATCCCCTCCCTTTTTTGAGTCTTCTCCAGCTCCCCAGGCAAAAGGAGTTGCTGCCCATTTTGTATTCACGTGTCTAGTGGCACCTTCGTATTATATGGGCCGTGTGTCTGGTCCAGTACTGCATCCCTCCCGAGACTGAGTCCCTCAAGGGAGGGCAGAGGCTTCACTCATCTTTGCACCCCAGAAAATAGCACAGTCCCTTAAACAGAGTTGGTGCTTCTAAAATGAGTGATAAGTCAACTCAAGAACAAGTTGATGGTTGGCTACTCCCAGAGGCAGAACTTTCCCTGTCTCAGGGACCAGCCCTCCAATTCAGAAAAGATGGCCCAGCGGGAAGCTCCATGGGGGCACAAAATGACCCAGGGGACAGCTCCACAGGGCACTGGGAAGGTGAGAAGAATGAAGGGGCTGCTCAAGAGAAAAGAAAAGGAAAGTGGGGACAGACAGCCACGGCTGCCTCGGCTCCACCAGAGGGCCCCGGGAAGGGGCCCCCCACTTCCGCTACCCTGGCCTGACCCCAACTCTGCTGTTGGCAAACTGATTGCTTCCACTCATTTCAAGGGTTTCCATCAGGGCCCAAGGAACCCTCCATTCCAACACCAGGCTCCTCCGTGCTGGATGGAAAGGGGGAATGCAAATCTCTGCAGGGAAAAGATTTCTGGAAGATGTCCCGGGAGAAGCACCTCCAAGGCCTCCAGCCACCACCCTGGATTGCCTGAGACTTTCAGGGATTCCCAGAACACAGGACTAAGCCTGGGAAAGCCCCAGGCAAGCCGAGAGACCTTTCACCCTATATAGACATCAGTGGCATCTGTGACAAGTAGACTTCCTTCTGGGTCACCCTCTGGAGCAAATGGGATAAGGCAAGGCAGCCCATGCCATGTGACACAGCTCAGAAATCAGAGTAGGCCTTGGCCCTCAGCTCCTTCCCCAACCCACTGAGACACAAGCACACACACGCACAGAGACACACACATAGCTCACACACATAGACACACACACATATACATGCACACAGACATACACAGATAGACACAGAGGCATATACATGGCACACACAAATATAACACATACATGCATACAGACACACACACACGGACACACAAACATACAGATATAAATGCATACATGCACGCAGACATACACAGACACACATACATGCACATAGATACACATGCACACAGATACACACAGATATACACACACAGGAATACACAAATGCATGCACATAGATACACACAGACACACACAGAGACACAGATACACACACAGAGACACACATAGAGACACACACATGCACAAACACAGACACACACATCCATGCACATAGACATATGCACACACACAGACACATATAAGTACCACATGCACATATATGCACACAGATAAACACACATACACACAGACACACACAGACATACACAGACACACATATAGACATACACAGACACACATGCACATATAGACATGTGCAGACACACACACGCACACCTCCCTCTGTTGTTAGCTCCTCCCAGTCCCGTACCCCAGGCCTGGCCTGGCCATGGTTAGTGGAGCTCCCCTCGCAGGCAGAAGAGTGTAGCGAAGACTCACTGTGTACCTTCCGTGTTGTAAAATGAAAACGCCAGTCTTCTGAAGTGTGATATTGATCACGGCTACATTGATAACATGACTATTCTTGAAAATTATGTATCTGAGGCCAAGAAACACAATGTGACATGGACTCCAGAATGGACATGCGCTCACTGTGTGGTTTTGTGCTGAGTGGCATTGAGGGCTGCAGAGAAAACAGCCAGGAGGAATGCCAGGCAGGCCTGTCCACGGGGCGCTGGAAACCGCATTCAGCAATGGGATCTGGCCTCATACTTGGGCATGTCAAAAGCACTATGGGAAATTCCAAGGTGAGCCCAGTGCTCGGAAGAGAAGGGATCAGACCATCTCCCGCCAGTAGGTCGTGGGGTCTGGGTTTCCCCTGTGGTCCTACATGGCCAATGGCACTGGAAAGGTCTTCAAGCCCAGGAAGTGGCCTGGCCATGGCGGCAGGCAACACCAGGCCCAGATGCCAAGAAACACTGCGTGTGGCTGGAGGCGAGGGTGGGAGCCCCATGGGCAAGGCTGTCAGACCAGCACCTGTCCGGCTCCGTGGGCAGGCTGAGCCCTGGCAAGGAATTCTCTGGGTGACAGAGAACCTGCAGCTTCAGGAGCAGGAGCCACATCCAAAAGAGGGTCCCACAGCCACACAGGGGGCATCAGGGAGGCCGGGCCAGGGGCTGTGCAGGCTCAGGTCCTGCAGGGAGCAGACCCCAAGGCGGCATTCCAAGTGCAGGAAACACACAGGGGAGAGACTGCTGGTGAAGGCAAAAGAGGAGAAGGATAGGGTTGGAGGTGGGGCAGAGCCTTGGTGCCTTGGAGGAGTCCCCTGTGGAACCTGGCTCAGCGCTCAGCCGTGGACGAGAGGGCGGCTCTGCAGCTCTCTCCAACACTCCAAGGCTGCCCAGGCACTGCTCAGAACCTGCTGAGTCCCCCTCCACTGCTCAGTCCCCCTCCACTGCTGAGTCTCCCTCCACTGCTCAGTCCCCCTCCACTGCTCAGTTCCCCCTCCACTGCTGAGTCCCCCTCCACTGCTGAGTCCCCCTCCACTGCTCAGTCCCCCCTCCACTATTCAGTCCCCACCACTGCTGAGTCCCCCTCCACTACTCAGTCCCCCTCCACTGCTGAGTCTCCCTCCACTGCTCAGTCCCCCCCCACTGCTCAGTCCCCCTCCACTGCTGAGTCCCCCTCCACTGCTCAGTCCCCCTCCACTGCTGAGTCTCCCTCCACTGCTGAGTCCCCCTCAACTGCTAAGTCCCCCTCCACTGCTCGGTCCCCCTCCACTGCTGGGTCCCCTTCCACTGCTGAGTCCCCCTCCACTGCTCAGTCCCCGTCCACTGCTCAGTCCCCCTCCACTGCTTAGTCCCCCTGCACTGCAGGTTCTGAGCAGTGCCTGGGCAGCCTTGGAGTGTGCTGGAAACCTCCAGAAGCCAAATAGTGCAAACCTGAGCAACGCCATGGGACTGAGGAAAGGGCTCAGCAGGTGATGAACACATGCCATGGAGGGAGGGGATGCAGCTCGAGGACCAGGGGACTTCCAGCCTGGGCACCTAGAGGAGACACCATCCTGCAAAGAAATTGACTGAAATATTGAAAAACTGAGGTCCGAGTATAGAACAAATCCATAGCCCCAGACACACAGGGACGAGGTAAACTGTTAGAGCATTTTGAACAGAAAAGAGTCACTTGAATCACCGTCGATTGTTATTAAATTATTAGACAACTTCTGATGACAGGCGAGGAAACACGGGCTCTGTCTCTCCCTTAGTGTGAAGACCAGAAGGTGGAGTGCCTGTACGAGGCGCTGAAGAGAGCTGGAGACAGGCTCCTGGGCTCCTTCCCCATGGCCGTGCCCCTGGCTCTCCACTCCTCCATCAGCTACCTCGGCTTCTTCCTCAATGGCGGCCCCGCAGACGTCATTCGGGAATTCGCCATGACCTTCGCCACAGAAGCATCTCTCTTAGCAGGTGGGCAGCCCTGGCCGGTTGAAAACACAGGGCCGGGTTCACAGTGAGTGAGCCCTTCGTGGCAGGGACGAACTCCTAGCACACAGAGGCAGTGGGTCGCTTCCAGGGAAGCAGAGCCCACAGCAATGGTGGGATGGCGGGGTGGGCTTTCTCCTGGGCTCAGTGGATGCACCCGTCCTCACCGAGGCACTTCCGTGTCCACTTCTGGATTTTCAGCCGAGTGCGTGGACATGGTCTTAACCTGAGGCTGAAGAATTTAACTAGAGCCTCGTTTTTGAGCCACTGCAGCCTTCAAAAATTCAGGCTGATGGAAGGCTTCATATAAAAACACGGGCCGATGGAAGGCTTCATATGAAAACGCGGGCCGATGGAAGCTTCATATGAAAACGCGGGCCGATGGAAGCTTCATATGAAAACGGGGGCCGATGGAAGCTTCATATGAAAACACAGGCCGATGGAAGCTTCATATGAAAACGGGGGCTGATGGAAGGCTTCATATGAAAACACAGGCCGATGGAAGCTTCATATGAAAACGGGGGCTGATGGAAGCTTCATATGAAAACGGGGGCCGATGGAAGCTTCATATGAAAACACAGGCCGATGGAAGCTTCATATGAAAACGGGGGCCGATGGAAGCTTCATATGAAAACGGGGGCCGATGGAAGCTTCATATGAAAACACAGGCCGATGGAAGCTTCATATAAAAACGCGGGCGATGGAAGGCTTCATATGAAAACAGGGGCCGATGGAAGCTTCATATGAAAACACAGGCCGATGGAAGTTTCATATGAAAACGGGGGCCGATGGAAGCTTCATATGAAAACGGGGGCCGATGGAAGCTTCATATGAAAACACAGGCCGATGGAAGCTTCATATGAAAACACAGGCCGATGGAAGGCTTCATATGAAAACAGGGGCCGATGGAAGCTTCATATGAAAACACAGGCCGATGGAAGCTTCATATGAAAACACAGGCCGATGGAAGGCTTCATATGAAAACGGGGGCCGATGGAAGCTTCATATGAAAACGGGGCCGATGGAAGCTTCATATGAAAACGGGGGCCGATGGAAGCTTCATATAAAAACACAGGTCAATGGAAGCTTCATATGAAAACGGGGGCCGATGGAAGCTTCATATGAAAACGGGGCCGATGGAAGCTTCATATGAAAACGGGGGCCGATGGAAGCTTCATATGGAAACGGGGGCTGATGGAAGCTTCATATGAAAATGGGGGCCGATGGAAGCTTCATATGAAAACGCGGGCGATGGAAGCTTCATATGAAAACGCGGGCGATGGAAGCTTCATATGAAAACGCGGGCGATGGAAGCTTCATATGAAAACGCGGGCGATGGAAGCTTCATATGAAAACGCGGGCGATGGAAGCTTCATATAAAAACACAGGCCGATGGAAGCTTCATATGAAAACGGGGGTCCATGGAAGCTTCATATGAAAACGGGGGCCGATGGAAGCTTCATATGAAAATGCGGCCGTGGAAGCTTCATATGAAAACGGGGGCCGATGGAAGCTTCATATGAAAATGCGGGCCGATGGAAGGCTTCATATGAAAACGCGGGCGATGGAAGCTTCATATAAAAACACAGGCCGATGGAAGCTTCATATGAAAACGGGGGTCCATGGAAGCTTCATATGAAAACGGGGGCCGATGGAAGCTTCATATGAAAATGCGGGCCGATGGAAGGCTTCATATGAAAATGGGGGCCGATGGAAGCTTCATATAAAAACGGGGGCCGATGGAAGCTTCATATGAAAACGGGGGCCGATGGAAGCTTCATATGAAAACGCGGGCCGATGGAAGGCTTCATATGAAAACGGGGGCCGATGGAAGCTTCATATGAAAACGGGGGCCGATGGAAGCTTCATATGAAAACGGGGGCCGATGGAAGCTTCATATGAAAATGGGGGCCGATGGAAGCTTCATATGGAAACGGGGGCCGATGGAAGCTTCATATAAAAATGTATGCCGATAGGAAGCTTCTGGACCCACGGTGGTCTTCTCCTTCAGTGGAAATAGTCTTGTTCGCATTTAGTGGTTTTTCAAACACTTAGCTATATGCCAACAGCCCGGGAAACTGCCCCAGAGGGGTGTGCCAAGCATCAAGCCTGACTGGGTGACCGTGACAGTGTTGGAGGCCGGTGCACATGGGTAGTCAGGGCTTCCTGCCCTCGGCCTCGAATGGGAGACACACGAGTCCTATGTGACCTCTTTCTGTATTATCAGAATGAGCTCAGTGCTCTCTCCTTGGCCTCTCCAGGGAAGGATTATTTAGACACATGTTGAGAATCATCAAAATTCCCTGCTCTGGAGCCTGAGGCTGGGGTTTGGTAGAAAGGATTCTGGACTTGGCATCAGAACATGTGGATTTTTTCTGTGTTCCTGATGAGTGGCGTGACCTTAGTCAAGTCAGGTCCACTCGCTCTCTTTTCTTTCTCTACAAAACGATGAGGGCTCTCACTCTTCAAGAACAATGTTGCCTGAGTCTATGGCGCACCCGCCCCGGTTCCCAGGACACAGATGGTGCTCAGCGTTGTCATGATTTACCAGCTCTGAAATCTGACAAGGCCGCAGTGTCTTGGTGGGAGGGGCCCTCCTCTCTCTCCCCGGGAATGTGTCTGTCTCTGTCCTCAGACACGCGTGAAACAGACATCTTGGCCCATAAATCCAACCATGAATCCCAGGCTTCCATTTGGATGCCAGCTTGTGAATCTGGAGACCGAATCCGCCGGATAATTAGAAAGTAACCCCTGGTCTTTGTGGAATGAGTCTCCTCTGCCAGACGATGGCTCTTTCATACCCCAGGCTTCCCTAGTGAACCTCAACGGCGACATCTTAAAAGCAGGAAGGCTGAGGCTGTGAAGGGCAAAGTGCCTGCCCAAGGTCACGTGGTGTGTGCAGTGGCGTCCCTTAAAATATATGTCCACCAGCAACCTCAGACCTCCCTTGGAAATAGGACCTTTGCAGATGCGATTGGTTAGGAGGAGGTCACACTGGAGTAGGGTGGGTCCCCATAAGTGGAGAGGCCGCACAGAGACACAGAGAAGCCATATGCCAACTGAGGCAGAGACGGGAGTGATGTGGCCACAAGCCAAGGGATGCCTGAGGCCACAAGAAACTGGAAGACACAGGAAGGACCCTTCCCAGGAGCTTTCAGGGAGAGCGCAGCTCTGCCAACACCTTGATTTTGAACCTCTGGTCTCCAGAAACTGGAGAGAATAAATGTCTGTTGTTGGAAACCAATCCAGTGCCCTAACCAGTCTGGTGGAGCCAGGACCTGAACCCAGCTCTGTCCTGCTCCACACCACCCGGGTTCATGCCGAGAGGCCCCACTTCCTGTGCGAGCTAGCATTGACCTCACATCCACACCCTGACCTTGAGCAGGCTCTGTCCTGCCCTTTTCTGGCCCATGCTCTCAGCCTGACACTGAGCGGGCAGAGAGGCCTCTCCCAGTGACAAGTGACCAGTCACTGCTCTGAAGTGGCCAAGCGCCCTCTTGGGGCAAGCACACCAGGCATCCTGCCCACAGTGGCCCTCCCCAGTGAAACGTCCCCGTAGGCACGGGTCTGTGGAGAGAAGGAAACACAAGGACCCATTCACAAGTCAGTGTGACTCACTCTGACATCAGCCGCCAGCAGTGGGTCTTTCCCAGGCCTTCCTCCCCAACTGCTAAAAAACAGTCAGAAAAGGAATTTCCCCACCACCTACACACTCCCGCCGCTCTGGGCTGCGCGGCCTCAGCACCTGGGCCAGCCAGAGACCGTGGGAGCTTCCCGTTTGCCTCTAAAGGTTCACCACTCACGTGGGAGACAGCAGTGGGCTCCAACTTCGGGGCTCTGAGGAAAGGCTTGCATTACCCTTGACATTTTTAGGGGGTGAGCAGATCCTGTCTGTAAGTGCCTTGCCGTGGAGCGAGGGCAGGTGACCTCTGCACTGACACAGCGTCTCTAGCAGGAAATTTTAAGAAGCTGATTTCCCACGGCAGCCCTGGCAAGCAGCCTCTGCCATCCTCCAGCAAATGCTGCTGAAACAGAAATTGGGCCTGGCCCAGAGGCTCGGTCAAGGTCACCTTGCAAAAGGGGGGCACAGTGTGCCCTAAAACTATGTCTGTCCACCCCAAAGTCTGTGTTGTTCCCATCAAGACACCGACCGCCTCCCTAGGACATAAAATACTTTGTGGCCCAACTGAAATCAGATCCCAGCTGCTTCGGAGACTCCAGCTGCTCTGCTCACTGGCCTGAGAGCCCCCTTGCAAGACCAGGAGGGCCAGGGCCATTGGGGCAGAGGATGCCCAAAAAGACTGGCGACTCAGCCACTCCCGGGACCTCCTGCTTCACCAAAACCAGCTGAACCCTAAGACATTGTGTGTTTTATAGTTTTGCTGCCTAAAGAGTTTTCTTAAAACTCTACAATTAACAACAAGCCAGTGAACTGGAGCTCAGGCCTGCAAGTCCAGGCCACGGGGTGATGCGCACGCCCCGGGGAATGGGGAATGGAGCCTGGGTGATGCGCTCGCCCCGGGGAATGGAGCAGCTGTTGGGATTGGAGCAGCTGTTAACTCTGTGCATCTGAATCGTGCATTTGTGTAGTTGGCCTGCAAACTGATAGGCCCCCATGCCCTCCTCTTCCCCGCTTCCTGGAAATATCTGCAGGTATCCAGCCATCTCCTTTATGGTGTGAGTTCTGAGTGGGCCAAGTCCTTGCCTTGTTGAGGGAGCACGGAGGTGGAAGGAAGGACACGTTTAGGTAACAGTGCCCTGGCACCCTCTGTGTTTCCCTGATTTCACAGACTGTACCGTGAAGCCGTGCACCAAGCAGCTGCATCTGACCTTGGCCCACAAGTTCTACCCCCACCACCAGAGGACGCTGGAGCAGCTGGCCAGAGCCATCCCCCTGGGCCACGGCTGCCAGTGGACGGCAGCCCTCTACTCCCGAGACATGCGCTTCGTGCACTACCAGGTGAGAGAGCGGGGCGGGGGCTCCTAAGAAGCAGATGAATGCACAGCCACCCACCTGACAGCGCACGCCCCTGGAGCCCTCCAAGGGAGATATTTTAGTAGCAAGGGAAATTTCTATTGCTTCTCTAAAACCATTCTCTCTCTTGTGCAATTTGCAACTAGCATTCTTTTATATGTGAGTCAGAGATACACAGAAATTTTAACACAAAATAGAAGCATTTCCAGTATTAGAAAAGGAGGCCTGGCATGGTGGCTCATGCCTGTAATCCCAGCACTTTGGGAGACCAAGGCAGGTGGATCACTTGAGGTCAGGTGTTCAAGATCAGCCTGGGCAATATGGTGAAACACCGTCTCTACCAAAAATACAAAAAATTAGCTGGGCATGGTGGCACGTGCCTGTAATCCCAGCTACTCAGGAGGCTGAGGCAGGAGAATCACCTGAACCTGGGAGGTGGAGGCTGCAGTGAACCAAGATTGCACCACTGCACTCCAGCCTGGGTAACAGGGAGACTGGCAAGAAAAAAAAAAGGAAGGAAGGAAGGAAGGAAGGAAGGAGGGAGGGAGGGAGGGAGGGAGGGAGGGAAGGAAGGAAGGAGAGAAAGAGAAAAAAAGAGAGGGGGAAGGGAAGGGAAGAAAGAAACAGAAAGAGACTGTTGTAAATACATGTTTTACTTATTTAGTTATTTTTTTATTATTCTTATTGATTTTTTCAAGTTAGGGGTTATTCTTATTTATTTTTTTAAGTTAGGGTTTTTTTTATTATTATTATTTATTTTTTTAAGTTAGGGGTTATCCTTATTTATTTTTTTAAGTTAGGGGTTATTCTTATTTACTTTTTTAAGTAAGTTAGGGCTTATTCTTACTTATTTTTTTAAGTTAGGGTTTTTTTATTATTCTTATTTATTTTTTAAGTTAGGAGTTATCCTTATTTATTTTTTTAAGTTAGGGGTTATTTTTTAATTATTCTTATTTATTTTTTCAAGTTAAGGGTTATCCTTATTTATTTTTTAAGTTAGGGGTTATCCTTATATATTTTTTTAAGTTAGGGGTTATTTTTAAATTATTCTTATTTATTTTTTTAAGTTAAGCGTTATCCTTATTTATTTTTTTAAGTTAGGGGTTATCCTTATTTATTTTTTTAAGTTAGGGGTTATCCTTATTTATTTTTTTAAGTTAGGGGTTATGCTAATCTCTGTATCATTCTCATTTTAGTTGTGTGTGCTGCCAAAGGGAGCACCATTCACTTTAAGTAATGATTTGAATGAAACCTCCTTCTGAGACTTCCTCCCCATGAAGTGAAGTGTGCAGTGCTTCTTTCAGATCCAGAGAGCAAGTGTGAATGAATCCACGTGTTCTGTGACATACGAGAAGGTGCCAATAACCTCACACCGAGGAAGGCGGATGTGAAGGTCGGCTTGTGCCTTCAGATATTTTGTAGATGGAAAAGTACCTAGGTGGTTGGATGACGGATAGATCCCAAAATGTTTGCCTTTTTTTCTTTTCTTTTCTTGTTGAGACAGTGTGAGTCTGTTCCCAGGCTGCAGTGCAGTGGTGCGATCTCAGCTCACTGCAACCTCCACCTCAGTGGGTTCAAGTGATACTTCTGCCTCAGCTTCCTGAGTAGCTGAGACTACAGGTGTGCACCACCATACCTGGCCAATGTTTGTATTTTTAGCAGAGAAAGGGTTTCACTATGTTGGCCAAGCTGGTCTTGAACTCCTGACCTTGTGATCCAGCTGCCTCAGGCTCCCAAAGTGCTGGGATTACAGGCATGAGCCTCCGCGCCCAGCCCCAAAATGTATTTCTAAATCTATCCAAAGAATTATATGCTGCATTTCGTTATATTCTATGCTATGTACCGCTAGACAAAGCTTTGGACAGTGTCTTGGAGACACAGCACACATTGGAGGAGGCAGAGAGCAGGAGGTAGCAGGTGACAGGCCTCCCACTGCTGCCATTTTCCAATGTAAATCTTTGCTCGAGACATGAAACCCCTTGCCTCTTTTCTAGACCCTGAGAGCCCTGTTCCAGTACCAACCCCAGAATGCGGACGAGCTGATGCTAAGTCCTGGCGACTACATCTTTGTGGACCCCACGCAGCAGGACGAAGCCAGCGAGGGCTGGGTGATTGGGATCTCACAGCGGACAGGTTGCCGGGGCTTCCTGCCAGAAAACTACACGGATCGAGCCAGCGAGTCTGACACCTGGGTTAAGCACAGGTGAGTGCTGCCTCCAGCTGCAGCCCCATCATCTCTCTCAGTTACTGCGTAGAGGGCCCACCTGCAAACACTGTGCTTCTAAACCGTCCCATCATTAGTAAAATGCATTCTCTATGCTGGCAAAATCATTCCTGCAGGTATATGGTAAACGTCTTGGTTCATGTGTGGTTTTCTGGCGGTAACATTCAAAAAAGAATGAATTACTGTGCCTTAAAGTAATTTGAGATGGTCATCCCAAAATTATTTCCTTATCACAAACATAATAAATTCCACGCAGAGGTCCTGAGCCTAGGTTTATTTATTCTTCTATCCCGAGTATAAACCGTAAGTCCTAGGGTGTATTGTTAGTTTTCTATGGCTGTGTAATAAATTACCACAAAATTAACAGCTAAAACAAAGTGCAGTTATTATCTTATTGTATTCATGGGTTGAGAGTCAGAGTCAGCTTAAGTGGGTCCTCAGCTCGGGGTCTCAAGGCTGTAATCAAGGTGCCTGCCAGGGCTGGGATCCCAGCTGAGGCTTCTTGCCCTCGCCTGAGCCTACACACTTGGTGGAAGTGAGTTCCTTGAACCTGTGGGACTCCTGGTGACACTTCTTCATCAGCTGGAGAATGCCTTGATTCTAGCCTTTTAGCATCACCTGGTGAGGCTAGGGATTTTCAGAACCATCAGGCTCGGTTCCTGTTTGTTTGATGTTCTTCCCTCAGTTTATCTGTTTCCTCTCCCGCTGCACTATAAGCAACGTGAAGAAACCAGGTGATACGCTTAACACTGTGTTTGGAAATGTCCGTAGCTATGGAACCAGCATTACCGCTTGCTTACAAGTCCTCGCTCCATGGACAATTTCATTAAATTCTCTGGCACACATGGGACGGGTCCTCCTTGCTCCGGTTTCCTGGAACACGTTTCACATTCCTTTCTGAGTCCTCTCTGGCGGATTCACCTTTAGCATCCGCATTTCCTAGCAGTCTGTTCGTGGTGATTTGGGCTTTCTCTACCACGGTGTCAGAAGTCTCTCAGCCTGTACTCAACTTCGCCCAGTCCCAGAGCTGTTTCCACACCTTAAGTTCAGAAGGTTTCCAACTCACAACGGTTCGACTTAGGATTTCATAATGAAACGACAGTGATATTCGTGGAGTAGAAACTGTGCTTCAAGTGCCCGTATTCAGTGCTTCACTTTCAGTACAACATTTTACAAATTATGTGAGATACTCAACACTTCATTACAAAACAGGCTTCGTGTTAGGTGCTTTTGCCCCACTATAGGCTACTGTAAATGTCTGAGCACGTTCAGGGTAAGCGAGGTTGAGCTATGACATTCAGTAGCTTAGGTGCATTAAATGCATCTTCAAGGTATGATGGGTTTGTTGGAACGTAACCCCATCTGCAGGTGAAGAGCACCCATGTGTGTTACAACAGCTCCCCATTCCTGACACCAAATTTAGTAAAAGTGTAACCAGAGAAGCAGAACCGATCACTTGCATACAGCATATAAGACATATACATATTCATGCAGTTGTCCCTTGCTATCCGCAAGGCGTTGGTTCCAGGACACCCACAGATACCCAAATCCTCAGGTGCTCCAGTCACTGACGTAAAATGCTGTGGTACTTACATGCAATGTATGCACATCCTCCTGCGCCTTTTAAATCATCTCTAGGTTACCTGTGATGTGTTATATAGTGTTAATGCTACACAAATAGTGGTTATTCAGTTCAGTATTGTTTTTTATTTGTATTTTTTAAATTGTTGTATTGCTTTTTTTTTTTCTTTGAGAATGGAAGTTTTGCTCTTTTGCCCAGGCTGGAATGCAATGGCAAGATCTTGGCTCACTGCAACCTCTGCCTCCCAGGTTCAAGCGATTCTCCTGCCTCAGCCTCCCGAGTAGCTAAGTTTACGGGCACGCGCCACCACACTCGGCTAATTTTGTATTTTTAGTAGAGACAAAGTTTCTCCATGTTGATCAGGCTGATCTCGAACTCCCAACTTCAGGTGGTCCCGCCGTCCTCGACCTCTGAAAGTTCTGGCATTACAGGTGTGAGCCACCTCGCCTCGCCGCTGTTTTTTATCAATTTTTTAAAAAATATTTTTGGCCTGCAGTTGGTCAACTCCACATAATACTTTATATTGTATACACATGTATCACATATGCGCATATGGATATGGTACAACAAATTACCTTATGCAGTTACTGGGGCTAGCTAAGCAGATGCGGGCAGGCAGGAAGGGAGGGAGGGAGGGAGACACGGAGCGGGGGAGGCAGGGAGGGAGGGAGGGTCCTACTCAGGCTGAAAGCCCATGGGCAAGTTGTCCACACGTGGGCAGCTGGAAGGACCCACGTGGGGCATGGGAGAGCAATCGCAGACACAGCTGCTATGAGTCTCTGAGTTTGGGGAAAGCCGAAGCTTTAAAAAGAAATATGCCTGGCTGGGCGCGGTGGCTCACGGCTGTAATCCCAGTACTTTGGGAGGCCGAGGAGGGTGGATCACGAGGTCAAGAGATCAAGACCATCCTGGTCAACATGGTGAAACCCCATCTCTACTAAAAATACAAAAAAATAGCTGGGCATGGTGGCGCGTGCCTGTAGTCCCAGCTACTCAGGAGGCTGAGGCAGGAGAATTGCCTGAACCCAGGAGGCGGAGGTTGTGGTGAGCCGAGATAACGCCATTGCACTCCAGCCTGGGTAACAAGAGCGAAACTCCGTCTCAAAAAAAAAAAAATGCCTTCCCACTGCATAAGTCAGGCCTGCTCGGACTACTCTTGGTTTTGATTAATTTGAATTCAGCTGCTTAGGGGATCTAATCACGTTTGCAAAATCTCCTCGCGGCACCTGGACTAGCATTTGATGGGATAGCTGGGAAGGCCGTGTGTGATGCTTAGGATGACTCCTGCCTCCCTTCCATCCTGCAGCTGTCATGAGAATGCCTCTTGTAGCCCACCCTTATCAGTCACAGGCTAAAAAGGAAGTCTAGGGACTGTCGTTCAGCCTAGCCAAGTCGCCACACTGTAAAGCCTTTGCATCGTGTGAAGGTAGCTTTCGTGAGCTTTTTCACTCTCTTCTCCCAGGTTCCAGTTGGGAGAGTGGAGAGAGCAGGCAGAGGTCAGAATACATGTGGTGAAAAAAGAGAAAAGCTGCTCAACCTCACAGGTGTGCATGTTGGGGTGGAGCTCTTGCAGGTGTCAAGACTGGTGGTTGGAACAGCTGAATGATGAGAGTAGGAGGAGCAGGGCAGAAAGGCACAGAAAACCCTATGTTGTGGTTCGGGGCTTCCTGGCCCCTTCAGAGCTGTGTGGCTGGGGAAGAGAGCCTGGAAAACCACCATCATGGCCATCCCTCTATCTCCAGGCAGGAGGAGGTCTTAAAACCGTTTTACTGTTTCACTCATTTGTTTACTTCTCTCCCAAAATTTTCCGCAGCTTCTCTAGGGTTCCCCCCACCACCCTGACAAATAAATAAATCATTAAGTTGGACACAGATGAATCAGCATCTGCTCAATCTATAGATTTTCAGATCTGTGCTGGACATGTGCTGTGGATTCTACTTCTAGCATCTATATATCCAGGGAATTCTTGCCTGTACCCTTCCCACTGAGGTTCATACACAAAGCACAACTATGAAAATTGTGACATTTTATTTGAGTTGTCATTGGAAACTACTTAAAAATTGTCAGAGACTATAAGGGTAACTAATAAGACTAGCATTTTGAGTAAATTTAGAAAGAATATATTTTGAAGAGCTAAAATAAATGATTGCTTATTGGTTATTTTTATCCAAATCCCCCCCCAAAAAAAGAAAAGAAAAGATGGTTTAATAGTACCTAATAGAAGCTCTTGGTGAAATGATTCGAATTTGCAAGAAATAGTAGTAAAAATAGTGGAAGTATTGTCTGAAATATTTATAAAAGGAGATTGGGTGACTATGGCTGATTTCTTTAAGTATTATTTTTCTTTCTGCTAATTATTCATACACTGAGATTTGTAAGATGAGCCAGTGACAGCATTTATGACCCTGGGCTTCCCCACTAAACGTAATAGCAACTTGACACTCAAGGGGAGCAGCCAAAGCCCCATGGCTGTCCAGACGTGGCATTCCATATCATCTTCACTGTGTCCAGACATGGCATTCTGTATCATCTTCGCTTTGTCCACACGTGGCATTCTGTATCATCTTCGCTGTGTCCAGATGTGGCATTCCATATCATCTTCACTGTGTCCAGACGTGGCATTCCATATCATCTTCACTGTGTCCAGACATGGCATTCTGTATCATCTTCGCTGTGTCCACACGTGGCATTCTGTATCATCTTCGCTGTGTCCAGACGTGGCATTCTGTATCATCTTCGCTTTGTCCACACGTGGCATTCTGTATCATCTTCGCTGTGTCCAGACGTGGCATTCCGTATCATCTTCGCTGTGTCCAGATGTGGCATTCCGTATCATCTTCGCTGTGTCCAGACGTGGCATTCCGTATCATCTTCGCTGTGTCCAGACGTGGCATTCCGTATCATCTTCGCTGTGTCCAGACGTGGCATTCCGTATCATCTTCGCTGTGTCCAGACGTGGCATTCCGTATCATCTTCGCTGTGTCCAGACGTGGCATTCCGTATCATCTTCGCTGTGTCCAGACGTGGCATTCCGTATCATCTTCTCTGTGTCCAGACGTGGCATTCCGTATCATCTTCGCCGTGTCCAGACGTGGCATTCCGTATCATCTTTTCTGTGTCCAGACTTGGCATTTCGTATCATCTTCGCTGTGTCCAGACGTGGCATTCCATATCTTCTTCGCTTTTTCCAGATGTGGCATTCCATATCATCACTTTTTCCAGATGTGGCATTCCATATCATCTTTGCTTTGTCCAGATGTGGCATTCTGTATCATCTTCTCTGTGTCCAGACGTGCCATTCCGTATCTTCTTCGCTTTTTCCAGACGTGGCATTCCATATCATCTTTGCTTTGTCCAGATGTGGCATTCCATATCATCTTCTCTGTGTCCAGACGTG